TCAGGTCCCCCAGGGTGATGTCCAGCTTCACCTGCCGGGGGACACTGGGATGAGGGAGGACAAAGGGGACACCCCAGCACTCCAGCTGGGTACACCTCGGGGTCTGTGCCCTCAGTGTTACACCACGTGCACTCAGCTGACGCCAGAAGTCTCCCAGAACTCTGAAACTCAGGAAGGGGGGGTAGGGTAGGGTAGGGCTCACCTCGAAGGTCTGCACTGGGATGCTCTTGGCCTTGCGGGACAGGGGCTGGGGGGGCGGCAGTGGGGGCACCGAGCTCATTCTCTGACAAGTGACTTTTCAGTGCCTGCAGAGCCCACACGTGGGCATCAGCGAGAGCCCCACCAGCCCCCCACAGCTACTACCACCCTCCAAACTCTCCAAGTGCCACCAGTGTTCCAAGCACCCTCAGCCCTCCCAGCCTCCCAAGATCCACCAGCCCCCTCAGCCCTACCAGTGCCCCAGCTCCACTGCCCCCGCCCCCAGTCCCACTGTTGCCTCATTCCCACGAGCCTCCCCCAGCTCCACCAGCCCAACAATCCCTGTCAGCTGTCCAGTCCCACCATCAGCCCCATCAGTGCCATCAGCCCCAAAGATCCCTCAGGACACCCCCATGAGAACACATCCCCCGCACACCCCCAGCCTCACCTTCTTCTCGATGGAGGAGAGGAAATCTTTCAGCACAGACAGCTTCAGCACCAGGCTCTCCAGCTCCTGCTCCCCGCTCTGCCCTGCTGTCTGGAACCCCCAGGAGGTAACCCCAGCACAGGGATGGGATCCCCACACCCACCCCAGTTCCGCCCCAGAGTAACAAGACCCCCAGGCGCCCTGGGATGGGGCAGGATGGTGGGTGTTTCTCCCCAGGCTTTCCCACCACCCATGGATGGTGCTACGGTGGGGTCTGTGGGCACAGTCCATGGTGGTGGGTTGCCACCACCGTGTCCCCATATCCCCCTCACCTGCTGCAGGATCTTGGAAACCATGGGGGAGCTCTGCTGGTCAAACACTTTGGAGAGGATCTCCAGCCCTGCCAGCACCTTGTCCACCTCACTGCAGGGGCAAGAGGAGCCAGCTCAGTGGGTGACACAGATGTCCCTCCATCTGTCCCTCTGTCCCAGCACCCAGCACCCACCTGTGCAGCCGTTTGCAGGAGGTGACAAGGGTCTTGTTGAGGTGGGGGAGGCTGTTGGCCCCCCCCTTCACTGCCTCCAGGTCCAGGGTGTAGCTGCCCTTCAGGTACTCGTGGGAGATGCTGCTGAGCCCGTTGGCACTGCGAGGAGGACACCCAGGGGGTGAGAGCTGGTAGGGATGGGCAGGGGACGGGCAGGGGACAGACAGGGGACCTTCAGGAGATGGGCAGACCCTCACCTCTCTGCCGGTCCCTCCGGCACGGCTGGTCCCAGGCTGGTGGGCATTGAGTCCCGGCGAGGTATGGAGAGCTGGATTGGCTGTGGCAGCCAAGGAGAGTGTTCTGCAGCGGCTCCAGGCTTCTCCTCCCTCCTCAATCTGCAACAGGGCGATGAGGGGTCAATCCCGCCACCACCGGGGGCCCAGGGGACCCGCCCACCCGCCGTGTCACCCTGCCATACCCGAGTAGTCCCTGTCCTCCACGGTCTCCTTCTCTTTCTCCCTCTCGACAGGGAAGAGCAGGGTGCAGACCAGCCCCTGGTTGGGCTGCAGGTACAGGGCGATTAGCTCGCTCAGCGTCTTGAAGCGCCGCACCTGCACCCCCTGCGACGTCTGCGGGGACACGGGGACACCGGGGCCATCAGCGCCTGCAGCCACCGTCACCGGACCCCCGCGTGGGGACACCACCAGGCAGGGAACCCACCATGCAGGGACGCCACCACGCAGGGACCCCCAGGCAGAGATGTCCCTATGCAAGGATATCTCCAAGGAGGGACATCCCCATGCAGGGATTCCACCATGCAGGGATGTCGCCATGCAGAGATACCACTGTGCAGAGATGCCACCACGGAGGGATGCCCCCCCCCACAAAAAGACTCCCATGCAGGAATCCTCCCATGCGGAGATGCCACTATGCAGGGACCCACAAGCAGGATGGGGGGCTGACCCCACAGCCCATGGGGGGGAGCCGAGCCCAGTGCATGTGGCACAGTGCCCTGGTGCCACCCACGGGGGGCTGGCAGGTGGGCTGGCAGGGTGCAGGCAGCAGTCATCCTTCGGCCTCCTCCCTCCCGGGGGCGGCTTTTCCTGCCTGCCCGGCCGCAAAAGGGGTTCTGTTGACTCTTAATACCCAGGTGCTGGCAGCGCGCCAAGACAGCGCACAGCCAGCCCATCCGGCACACGCCGGGGCCGCGCGGTGCGTCGCACCAGGCCGGGCGCTTTGAGCACCGGCCAGCATCCGAGCCCGCACAGCAGCGGCACAGCCAAAGAGACGGGCACACTCATGGCACGAGGCCAAGATTGAGCCCCGCCGAGCCAGAGACCCCTCGCTGCCCACGAGCCAGAGGGTGTCCCGTGCCCTCACTGCCCACCTGCACGGCCAGGAAATCCTCCTCGTCGGGCAGGATGCGGTAGGTGTGGACGTGCTTCTGGAACCTGTGGCAGCGGGGAGGAGGCCATCAGGCAGGGGGTTCTAGG